CTCACGAATTACAGTTCTGCACCAGCTCGGCGACGCCCTGCATGCATTCGAGGAGTTGCAGTTCGTAGTCAACGAGATCAAGCCCAGCACTTTTACCTACACCGCGCGCGACCGAACCTCTGCGACCACCGGCGGCCAGCTCGATGCCGACACCCGCGTCCGTTTCTAGCACGAACAAGGTGCGCGTGCCATCTTTTCAGCTGTTGCCAGTGCCCTCATCAAGCTGCCGACCAGGATTGGTCCTCTTCGTCGTCGCGCCGTCGACTTGCTCACGGCCACGGGGAGCGCCACAGGCCCGGTCGTTGTCATGTAGGCTGCCAGCAATCTCCGCTCGCCTATACCAGCGCTGAAGAGGCTCACTTGGTCTGATTCGGACCACGGCAATTTTGAAGCGGTGTGCGCCATTATTACCTTGGCCGACGTTTCCAACAGCACTATCGCTGGAAGAGCGTGGCGAAAGACTAAGTCGATTTTTTGCTGGGTACTCGCGTCCGACAAAAATGCAAGCGCACTGATCTTGCCTACGCTATTGTCCAAATTGTCCAGTCCTTTCCGATGCATGCCCCACCAGACGATAGGCTGGTGGACGACCTGCTTTCTTTTGATCTTCAAACGCCTACGTCGAGAAAAGGGTGTGCTGGTGTGGGATGCGCCCTTTTAGCCTCCGTGGCAGCTCCGCATCTAGTTTCGAGGGGCGCCAAACCAACCGATGACGTGGTAAGTGCACGTTGACGCAGTTTGAGAACCGCCCCAACATCGACAGAGCGTGCAATGTGGGCTGTGTTCATGGCTCGCGCTCAAGTCACAGCTCGGCGGCCACCGTAGTGCCGACTTCTCAAATACAGAAACTTGTGAGGCGGGACATAGTTTCCAAAGAACCAGAAGGCATGATCAACAAGCTCACAACACTGACATGATAATGGATGAGGAAAACGTAAGCGTGGGGGTATCTGACGAGATATTAGAAGATGCATTGGTCCAAATAGCGAAAACCGCAGGGCTGGAGCAGGGTCATGTGGACGCTTCAATGGCTGTTGCGAGCTTGCTGCGAATGTGGAGAATGGCATTACCGACTGGTGTTTCAAGGATTGTACCGCGAACTTCTGCCAGGTTGTTACCAGAAGTGTCATCAGTGTCCGGTGTTTCGGCCTTGGTAGACGCAATTTGGCTAGGTTTACTAAAGAAATTGGATCCATCATTGTCATCCTCAATCTTAGAAAAGCTTCTTCCTGGTCTCTCCGAAGAACCCGACTTGCGCCTCTCCGCTGCCCTGCATGTGTACAGCACATTGCTGCTCAAATACGGCCGTCAGAGCATGAAAGAAAATGGACTATCGCAGCAATACAGTTCTGTGTCGTCGACTCTTTTGAAACGGGCTCACGAAGTGTTGGATGTCTTTTCGCACTTCGTTCATATGGGCGGCGTGAGAACTATGTCAGCCATAGTGACGGCGCTACCGAGATATTGATCTCCGCTTTTAACGGCTGTTTTGCAGGAACTGCTAATAGCAGATTTAGCGATGACTACAAAACACTCTGAGGAAGCTGTTTTACGAACGTTTACGTGTTTGAAGTCTGTCGAAAAGGAGCTGTTTTCGATTTTGGGATACTCTGCCGCCCTTTCCGTTCTTATTGGGAAAGTATCATCTGGTGAGTGCAATGTCCTGGATGCATTATGGTGTCAATGGAAAATAGATAGCCTGGTGTTGCTACGGCCTCATCTTGCAACTCAGAAGCCTGCTTCTTGTGACACAATTTCGGATTGCATTCGACGGCGAGCTGGATGGGGCTCAGTTGCGGCCCAGGCTAGCTCAAAACAGAAGAGGCTGTTTCAGGGAAGCTCTCTTGAGGAGATGGTATCTCTTTGGAAGGAAGAACTAGGGTTCGCCGGGGAGAGGGCAGGGAGGGAGCTTGGAGCCGTTGGAGAGCAGTGAGAGAAGAGGCGGTTGGGATGGCGTGATGGAGGGGGGTGTTGGGGTGAGGGAGGGAGGAGCGGTGTGTTTGGGGAGATGAGATTAGAAACGGAAGTTTCTAAAGGCCTGGAAAAGAAGGCGTTTGATTGTGGGAGGGGCGGGCCAGAGCAGAGACGGAGGGCGGGATAAGGTGCATTGTGAAAGGGCGGTACGGTGGCGAAGCGGCCTTACGTGGGGGAAGCGGAGCGACTCTGATAGCTACGGAACTGTCTGGAGATAGCGGCTGGGCCATTCGAGCTACATCCTGCTAGTGGCCAGGGTCGGGGGAAGGTAAAATAAGTTGCCGGACACTTCCATCCTGGTGTCGATCGTGTCGACAACATCCGCATCTTGCTGCACGAGGTCCTGCATTTATGGCTCAGGATCCTCCAACCAAAAGGCGCCTGTCTCAAATGCAACCACAGCCACTCCATTGCATAATATTTACCCAATCAGGATGGTTAGATCCAGCATGAACTTCCAATACTGTAGCCTGGGTTGCCAAACTCAGGGCCGTTCATGCCCCGTCTCCTTCCACCCTAGTAGAAAAATCAAAACATTTTGGAGCGTAATTTGAGGGCAATTTGCTTATTGGTGCCATGTACTGTAGAGCACGTGACGCGCACTCACCTTGCCCAATGAAAGCGCAATATGAGTGCATGCCAGCCACCCTGGAATTACCCTCCGATCCGACATCCTAAACAGCATTGGAAACCCCGTTTTGGAACCAGCGTTTCGGGCCTGCACTTGTTCTCTTTTGCGTCCAATATGTATGTAAATGCAGTGCAATGCGAGCTCGGAGTGCTTCTTAACCGCTCCCATTTACATCGTTCTACTATCTGCATCACCGCCTACTATCTACATCACTGCACGCTACCAACCTCCAGACATCCTCCGCCCGAACCCGCCACCGACCTACACCGCTCGTCCCCAACATAATATTTGATGATAATGCATCATCGATGCCATCGCCTTCGCGGGCTCCCTCTGTTCGACAGTAGCATTCCCATGACGACATTCTTGTCTTCAGAAAACATAATGGCTCGTCGCAACGTCAAACTCAACGCACCCCTTCCCCCCGCTTCGGACCATGTCTTCCGGCGTGAGCAACACGCTGCGCCCATACCAATCGCAGTACAAATCCAGATCCTCCTCGCTGCCTCGTGCCTTCTAGTTGTAGCACGCCAGTCGCCCGTACTTGTCGTCGGATCCACGCTTGGCTCGACGACATCTGGACCTTCCGACGCGTCTTGCATCGCTTCTCCGGTATCGCCCTCCGTTCTGACATCCTCGTTGGATGTCATCGGAATATCTGGAGTCGCGGTAGCATCGCAGACGTTGTCTGTGAAGGAATGATAGGGGCTACCGCCTTAGGTGCAGTCTTCAGTTCTTTTAAGTTGCACATCCGGTTGGTCCTCTGATTCTTTCGTCATCTGCACATCAGCATCATCAGCATCATCAGCATTGGAAGGATCTCTCTTCTGCCCATCTTCTTCCATATTTTGACTTTACATCACACGGGAGACGGAACCGTGTATCAACGAATCCTTTCAATATTTTCGGAGTAAAGTTTTCGTTCTACAACAAGTACTACTACCGAAAATCGCACTTTCACACTTTCCGGACGAGGAGCACACCTTCGCGAACAGTCAACATCAGTTGTTCTACACGCTTATCATTTCTCACAAACTGCGCAAACTCATGCAAACTTTGACGGACAGGATCGTTTTCTTCGTAAACAAGGGAGCATAACGCGTTACCAGCCATGATGAGGTCGTCCTCGTTGAGCAAGTTCAAAGCTGCTTCGTAATAATGCCTGTAGTTGGTCTTATCTGCATCCAAAAATACGATATCAAATTGCTCTCCAGTATGGACCATGTCGGTTACTGCCTTCCTCGCATCTGTCTCAAGCAGCTTCACTTTGTAGCCATTCTGGGCACTCTTAAAGCATTTTCGAGCAACAGCAGCTGCAGCGTTGTCTGCTTCAATCGTGACGACTTCTCCAATTGAAGGAATTCTATCTGCAAAAGCCAGTGCGGGGTATCCGGTGAATGTTCCAATGTCAAGAATCCTCTTGTCACTCTTACTTTGTGCGACCATCTTCAAAAATTGGCCTTCGATGGGACCTACCATGCACGGAGCGAAAAGTTTCGCCGCCTTTGTTTCGTTGGCAATGTTGACGAAGTCGGCTGTCGGAGGGGATGTCATGGCATTTGCATATTCTTCGGCGCCCGGGAAAAACAATGTGGAGTGTTCGAAAGCAGGGGGCTTAAGTGTATCACTCTTTGTTGCAGTTGAAAGCACGCTGTTTAAAGAAGATGATGTCTCACATTCATTGCGGCTAACTTGCTTCTCTGAGATCCACTGATTGTATGCTTCAATGTTGCTTTGTCCCTTTTCTCCGTTGCTCTCCGAGGGATCAGCGACTGAATTTTCAGACATTGCAGCATCAGTCGCTAAGCTCCCTTTAGGAACAGCATGGGCAGCATGTTGTTTAACAGTCGATGGATCCTCCAGACCGACATCTCGGCAGTGCGGCTCAATGCCGAAACCTTCCCTAGGGTATTTTTTCGCAATGTTCTGGTACTCAATCAACGTGCTTTCCATCCTTTCTCGCGTCAATGCGTTCAGGTATCCGCACTTTCCAATCGCACCGCGTGGTATCGGGGCACAATGGTTGCCGCCTCGCTTTTCCGTCATCTTCACCTGCGAAGACCAGAGGGAGTCTGGATTCTCAAGGATGTCATGCCGCAGTGAGAGTCCAACTGTACTCATCACCTTAAGAATCCGGTGAAACTCTCTCTCCGTAATCCACCCTTCTAAGAATGAAAGGTACGCGCCATAACCCATACCAATCGAAACTGCATGACCATGAAGGAGACCTGCTTGAAGTTCGAAACCGGGCGACCGGGTGTGCCCGTACGCGTGTGGACGGCACTGATGGGTCTCCCATAAGTTTCCGTACTCTGAGCGGACATAGCCGTCCATAGCTTTCGCGATGATTGATTCGCTGAGAACATCGATATCAGAACCACGGTCACATTGCTCCACTCCAAACTTGGTCTCCACCAGACGATTTCCGGCAGTCTCCAGCGCTGTGAAAAGAGTAGCGTCTTTAGTGACTGCCATCTTTATGATTTCGGCGATGCCATGACGAATCTATCCGGGCTCTAGCGTCTTGAAGAATTGTCGATCAGTTAGAGTAAGGATAGGGGGATGATACGCACTGAAAACATTCTTGTATCCCAACCCATCACAGCATGTCCGAGGAGAAGGCCCAGCATCAATACCTGACACAATAGATGTGCACAACATTACGTAGGGAGTATTCCTGTGATAAAGAGCACAGGCGAATCCGCCAATATCAGCCATGAAACCACCGCCAACCACAAGGACCGGTTCATTCCGAGACACTCGCTTGCCCTTGAGATCAACCAGAATCATTTCAACTCCTTTTCAACGCCCGAATCCATCGCAATTCCCGGTACTGCTTTTGCTTCGATAATTGTGCCTATCTCTGCCTTCGATTTTCCTTCTGCGATGTCGTCCTCACGTGGTTCTTTCGCGGCGCCGTCATCAGCCGCAATTCTTAACAGACGCTTTTCTTTTGCGCCGGTATCCACGGCGGTCTTTGCGAGTCCATCAACGGAATCAGATTGAATAGCGGTTTCCACTTCAAATGCAGCTTGTACCGCCGCTTGATTACTGAAGAGATTGCTCTGTGTATCATTATCTGCCTCAGCCTCAGCCTCAGCCTCAGCCTCATCCGCCTTTTCTGCCGTCTGTCCAACGTCTCCCTTGGAATCAACTCTAGCTCCCTTGGTCTCCCTTGGAATCAACTCTAGCTCCCTTGTTCCCGGGGTGGGCGGTGGCTTCTGCAACGTTTTCGCCCTCGCCGCTAGCCTTGTCTGTCTCATGCTCGTCAATATCAACCTCCCCCTCAGCCACATCCGCGGCGTCCGCATACGAGCTAGCGGCGTTATCCTCGCCATGGTGCTCTTCGGCATCCTCGTGCTCACTGTCCTCCTCGTGCACCTCCTCTTCCACCTCGGAGTCCTCCTCCACATCCCCCATATCGCGTCGGAGTCCTCCTCCACATCCCCCATATCGCGTCTCTTCGTCTGTGGGGTTCCTTCGACACTTTCCGTCAAATCAATTGTATCTCCCCTCTTCCCATCCTCATGTTCACTCGCGCTGTTCGCGTCGTCCTCATCGACGTCTTCATCGACAACGTCGGCCACGTCATCGTCATCGATGGGGTCTTCTTTGCCCAGGATCGCGTCGGGGTCGCGATCGACGTCCGGAACGCGATGTGGCCCCGAGAGCGGCGTCCGGAACGCGATGTGGCCCCGAGAGCGGCTGGGATGCGTGCGTGTGATCCGGGTCGGAGACGACGTCGACGTCGAGGGGGGCGCCACGGTCAAGCGAGACGTCCGCAGACACGCCCTTTACGTTGGAGACGACTTCGGGCGGGTGGAAGGATGCGGCTGTGATGGGAGTGATCGCGGGGTCCTCAGACGTATCCGCGTGGACATGCGGTGGTTCTTATGACACGAGGCTTTCGGTCGCAGTCGATTGCTCAACGTTGCCCTGCTCTGCGGCATCGGGCGGCGAGGCTTCTTGGTCGGGGACAGCTGCCTGTTCTGGCATGGCGTGAGGGGGTGGGAGACGGGAGCCGTGACTGTTGCGGTTTGAGAGGACGGCGGTTCCCAAAGGGAGTCTCTTGATCCATCCAAAAAAACATCAAAAACGGGGGAAATTTGAGAAGCGCAAAAGGACGTTTGAAGACAGGACAGCTCGGATACGTCTACGCATGTCCGACCCGATCACGTCTCCCAACTAAGGAGCGTGCCTGCGTGAGCTGTTCCTTTGCCAACACATTCTAGCCAAATGTCATGAACAATGCAAGATGTGCGGGCACTAACAAATTACCCCAGTGCCCGCAAGCTTTCTGTTTCATTCATTGCAGAAGGGCTTTTACGAATGCGCGTGGCTACCCACTTAAGCAGCAAGACTCTCCACTATCTACTCGACAAACTTCCTCCCTCAGCACTCCCGCAACCTCCTTAACAACGTCTTCCTCCCCCGTCCTTTCACACAGCACACACTCGAGCAGTCTCCGCGCCACGCTCGCGAACAATCTCTTCTTCCGTGCGCCCTCATGCAACAGGATCAAGCTCGTGAACAAGCTACACACAACCAGCAAGACGTCTCCCCAATCCACGCCGTACGAATCTTCCACATACCTCCTGACGACGCCCTGCGCCCTCCTCCACCTGGCCTCGACAAAAGCGTCGACGGGGACGGCGGCAAGGATGTGGTCGTATCCGGAGAGGCTCTGCACGACCTTTGCGACGTCGTACACGGCGTCTCCGGCGAGCGTGAGGGCATCTCCCTGTGCGCCCCGCATATCGATGAGGGCGATGCCGCCGTGCACGCGAGCGAGGACGTTGGTGGGGACGGGGTCGCCGTGGATGACGCGGGCAATCAACCGATCAGTTCTTTATTCATGAAGAAGAGGAGTTATTTGCCGCGACCCATAGTCATACAAAATGAATGACTGCGTAATGTACCATTCTACTTCTTGGTGTGACGACGAGGGCGTTTGAATGATGTCGTCGCCAGAGGTGCATTTCCTTTGTTATTTCGTTTGCGTTTATTACGCACTCGGACCGACGGCTGGACGTCCTGGAGATTATCGCCTCCATCCTCAAAAACCCCTTGACCAAGATCACCGTTTTCACGACACCCAAGGATCAACCCCGGAAGTCGGTTGTAGACACGTCTTGCGTTTTTACCCTTTGTGTTCGCGGTAGGGTGATGTACTTTAAGATGTGAATCTTCGTCGAAATGTCTATCACGGGATGTTCCTCGACCTGCCTTAACACGTTCACCATCATGGACCCGACTTCTTGAAGCATCTTCATGATGAATGTTATTACTATCAGTTCCTTGCTCGAATTCTGTACTCCGTTGAACTCGGTCACCATGAGAATCACCTGGCACTGGTTCAGTCCTTAAGATGTGACGGTGGTCGTCGTCGCACTGCTGTGGACTCATGTTTCCTTGCTCCCTCTCACCGCCACACGAATCTGATGGCATTTTTGATTTCTTCTTCCCGTAGATTTTGTCACGACGCAGAACCTCTTGGATTATTGCATCGGCGGCTCACTGATTATGGGCAAGCTTCAGGTCTGGAATGCGCTTCTCGAGATTGTTTCGGAGCGTCGCCAAAGTCCCGGCGTGCCCATACTTTAGATCCTTGTAAGGAAACTTCCCCTTGGGTAACTCCATGCCGAACTTTCGGCTCCCATACAACACAAGACGAACCCGTTTGAAAGCACCACGGATCGTCGAATCTGACAAAAGCTGGAAATCGTCACCGCTTTTCTCCATGTAAGAGAGGTATGCGTTGTTGAACACCTCACGTATGGGTCGCTGCGACCCGATTGTTCCATTTTTCCCCACGCGACGCGCTTCTCTCCTGGATGGTTCCATGAGACATCCGTCTTCCTCTTTGGGTCCCTCCATTCTACTAAGAAAAAACAGCAGAATCGAAGTTATGAATTTACTTCACATGAATGATGACAGGAATGAAGGCAAGAAATCTGGATAAGCTGCTGTGGAGAAAGCATTTATGAAGTGTTTCGTTTCACTCGAAACGAAAGAAAAGCGCCCTCAATGGCATTTCCCGCTTTGATGAGGGATCAAAATTTGTTTCGTTTGGTTCTCATTATTCAGAATTCTCTACCCCAAATTATAGCCAATGCGTCTTCCCAAGTCCACAGTAGCTGTCATTTCGCCACCCTCCTTCCCCCTAACACGTAAGCCTTGTCTCTATTATGAATGAAAACGATTTTACCGGCCACTCGCCGAGAAGGTATCTCAAACGTAGACGGGAACAAGTGCTTGGCATCATTCGGACGCGCGGCGAATTGTATGTACGTTCCCGAAAAAGGAGATTGAAAGAGTGGAAACATGAGAAAGCTTCAATAGACGAATCTTCCTCACAGTCGAGTTTTGCACCACACTTTTCCGTGAATGAGAGCAGCACAGGAGAGATTGACGAATGGACTGAAGAGGTATGCGTGGAAGAGCATTCGCCAAGTGTCGAAGACTCGTCTGAGTGGATGATCAGTGAAGTGCCCGAAAGACAAATTGACAGGTACGATGAACTGCCGCTGTCTGAGATGGAGACGTCATCCCATGACTCAGAAAGCACCCGAACCGAACGTTTAGCTGATACAAATTGGAATTTAAAGGAGTCTGAATCCAAGGGAATTTTGGAACTTCTTCATGTTCTGGAATTGGGCCAAGCTTCCACCCGATGTATACGAAGTGCTTTGCAGACGTCAATTGTAAGGACACGGTTCTCATATGACGTGCTTATGAGACATATCAATAGAAGAGCGGATGTGCCTAAGCACCACGTCCCAATGTGTCCACGCGGACATTTCGCTGCGACTAGGTCTCAGTCTCGTAGAAATACATGTCCAAATGCCGATTGCAGACAGAGGATCGGATCAGCACGATTCTGGACGAGCAACGTCTCTGACTAACTAAAAGCTCTCTGCCGCGAGGAATATTCTTTCCTTCAGTTTCAGAAAGGATGTCAGGAAGCCCATTTAGCAATGAGTTTAGAACCGGTCGACATTTTTTCTGACTACTACGACGGCGCTTTGTTTCGCCGAATGTTTCGTAAGCGCTTAGGCACGTGGGATCTAGACGGTGAACTCTATGTTTTCATGGTCATGTCCACAGATGGTTTCGAACTTTGTGGTACAAGTGAAGGAAAAAGAACCTGTTGGCCTATCATCTTCAAGCTTCTGAATCTGAACTTCTCACATCGCGGCCAGGCTGCAAATGCTCTCGTCACCGGTTTTATTCCTGGTTCACATAATCCTGAGTTTTTCGAGAGCTTTTTAGTCTCAATTGTGGACGACCTCGTGAACCTGGAAAAAGGAATGGATGTGAAGTGTTGGGACGGCAGAACCCGGAAGCTCTTCGCATTCGTCCTTTTTATCACTGCGGACTTCCCCGCCGCAAGCAAGCTTTTCGGTTTTATGGGACACAGAGCAAAACTTTTCTGCCGGAATTGCCACAAAAAAGCCGTCTTTGTATGCGGCTCTCTGTACGCTGTCCCTGTCAGATCGGAGAGGTGCAGTAAAGAAGCTGTTGGAGGGAATGGCATATGGGAAGATCAGTGTTGGATAGAATTAGAATGCCCAGAACGGAGAACCTCTTCTGAAACGGCGTCCGTCTGGCGACAGGAAGACACGGTTCCGCGAGCTACGGGGATCAAGAAAAGACCCCTGATCGCGCGCCTTTCGTTGGATTTCGTTTTTTCCTTACCGTATGATCCTATGCATCTCTGTTTGTTGGGTTGGGTTCGGCACTTGGTGTTCCTGGTTATTGGCTCCCATAAGCGCCATCAAGATTTGCACACGTCCTACATCTTGACCACAAGTGAGATTGCTCTCGTTAATGTTGCAATGTCTCGCAACCACAGAGGAATTCCGCAATTTTGGGGCCGTCCACCAACAAGCTTGGGAAATCTTAACCATTTTCGAGCTGAAGATTTCAAAAACTTTGGACTTTACTTCGCCTCCATTGTGTGGCATTCAGCGGCGTTGGATAGAAGACAGCAGACATTGTGGCATCTAACTTCCAAGATGCTGACAATCGTTCAAGATGCGTCGCCGCGGAGAACGGATTCGATTCAGCTTCGCAAAATTGTACAGAAACTGCATGCACTCTTCACAACTGTGTTCCATGAAAGCAAGCGGCATTCATTTTGTTTCACCCCCACCACTCATGCCATACTACACCTCTAGGAAATTTTGAGAGAATGCGGTCCATTGCGAAATGTCTCGCAGTTCTTCATGGAGCGCTTTGTTGGGGAGATGGGGGGAAGAGC